AAATAATTCAAATAAATTAAATAATTGAATTATTTAATTTATTTGAATTATTTGAATTAATTAATTTATTTATATATTAGCTAATTTAAATAGGACGTCAAATAGACCCTAAAGGTATCTCTATCATATATATATATATGTGTATACGCAGGGATATATGAGGTTTAGGGCTGAGGGTTTAGGGTTTGGGGGTTTCCCAAGACTAACGTACCCTTGTCGGGGTCGCTGTATTGAGGACTGTAGTACTTTGGGGTCTATCTTGGGGTCCCCCTATTCTGGGAAAAACCAACACATAGTCCGTTTTTTAACCCTGTATACAGTGGCAGTACCTTCCATTTCATTCTCCATTTGATTGTCCATTTGAATCTCTATTAATCCTATGTAACCTGCGCGAACTAAAGTGGAAACTCCCAGTATCCCTCCTCATAAGCCCGAAAATACACCCATATATAATCACCTATATAACCCCCTTTAAGGAGTTTAGACCCTAAACCCATATAACCCCATCCATGTGTATATATATATATGATCATAATGCCACTTTTGCCCCGGACCACCAGGCCGCTGTAAGTCCATGGTGCCTCTGGCCATGAAGCAAGCCCCGGTGGAAGCTAGTTAAAGAGCAGCTGGCATAAGAGGCTAAAAAAGATTTAGGGTTTAGGGTTTAGGGTGTAGGACTCATGGTTTAGGTTTTTGAATTTAGGGTTTAGGGTTTAAGGTGTAGGACTCATGGTTTAGGATTTTGGATTTAGGGTTTAGAGTGTGATCAGCTAGTCTTCGCTTGCTGAATCCCAAGTCGGCTGCTCAGCTGCTTGTTGCGTGTGAAACTTAAAGGGACTCTACTGGGAACCCCAAATAGGGAACCCCAAGAATATAGCAGGAATATAATGGAATATAAGGACCCTGGTAGGTATATTCCTATTATATACCTACTATATTCTTGGGGTTCCCAGTTTGGGATTCCCAGCAGAGTCCCTTTAAAACTGGCATGGAATCCTCACTGCTCGCTGTTGCCGTTTGCCTTGTCATATTCAACCCGCAGAGTCGTTAGCTTCTCCTTCAGTTAGGTTTAGGGCATAGGGTTTAGGGTTTAGGGTTTAGAGGTTTAGGGTTTAGGGTTTAGGGTTTAGGGTCAGGGGGACTTAGTAACTAGATTAATAATGGGGATAATTGGGGTTACTATATGGGTTATAGGGGTTCTTAACCTACTTACTAAGTCCCCCTGGCCCTCCAAGTAGGGCATAGGGTTTAGGGCTCACTTGCTCTTACGGCCTTGTATATGGGGTTATATAGGAACAATGGAGAATCAAATGGAAAATCAGACGGAAAATGAAATGGAAGCTTACAGGTGGTTAGTGGGAATCAGGGTAAATCATCCCTATATAATCCCAAAATAACCTTGAACCGACGGATGACGAACAAAGTGTCAACTTTCGCGCACCTCGAATCGAGCCGAACTCAAAAATCAACCCTAAGCCCTACAGAAGGTCCTGAAATTCCTCCCAGTCGTAGTCAATCTCCATGATCTTGCACTGGAAATGGTCCATGACCTGATGCAGGGACTTCAATTTAGGGTAGGGTTTAAGCTTTGGGGTGGAGAAACAAAGAGAGTCATAGAGGGACTATGCCGGCTCCTGATTAGGACTGTAATCCAATCATTCCTAGAAATACTCCTAACCCCTAAATAGTAGTTTTCATGTTCTTTTCCACCATTCCCTATATAACCCCAGTATACTATAGTAGTTTCCATTTTCTTTTCCACTATTCCCTATATAACCCCAATATACTATAAATATAATGGTTTCCATTTTCTTTTCCATCATCCCAATATAACCCCAATATCTTCCCTATAATCCCTATATAAACCCTATATAACCCCTGTAGTTTCCACTTTCTTTTCCATTATCCCAATATAACCCCAATATTCCGTCTGCTCAAACCCTAAACCCTAAACCCTAAACCCTAAACCGGCAATCTTTGGCAAAAAGCGAGCCTCTTGAATGTGCTTGATCTCGTCGGGTGTGACAAGGCTGACTGAGACGCCCTTGAGCCCGAACCTTCAGTACAGGAGACCGGATCACTCCATGGAACTTACTGGGGGTTTAGGGGTTTAGGGTTTAGGGGTTAGCAGGCAATAAGGGAATTTGTTATATAGGGACTATCTAGAGACTATATTCCTTTATTCCCTGCTGACCCCAAGTAAGGGGAGTTTCTCGAACTTTCTCCCCTATAGAATTCCCTAAACCCTAAACCCTAAAATCCCCTCCATTTTGAGAAACTCACTCCGATGCCTTCATGACAATTCTTAGGCTCGGACCGACCGGTTCTCCCGACTCTGTGCAAGTATGTCTCCTTTGCAGCGCTTAGCCCTTCCAGGGGGATTCTAGGGACCCTTAAGGTTACACGGGTATATACTAGGTATATAAGAACCAAAGGGTTAAGCTGAGCGATTACTTCGCTTATCTTGTGCCCCCCGGAGCTCCACATACCCTATACCTTACTCCCCAAACGCTAAACCCTAAACCCTACACCCCAACCCTAAACCCTAAACCCCTGAGGGCAATTCGCATCCCTGTACAGTCCCTTCTTCCTTCCCCCTACCCCCACCTCCCTGATATTAAATACTCCCAAGATACAATAAAATACCACATAGTTGGGGTGTTTTCATTCGGGGGTGGGGGTGCTTACTATTAAGTGGAGGGGGTTATATGACTCGCCAAGTGACCATCGCCACCCCTGAAGTCCAGCCCTTCGCGAGGGGCATTTCGTAGTTCACCACCAGAGTGACCTGACCAAGCACATATCATGGGAAACAAGAAGCTACTCCACTTGGGGGTTTCCCAAAACCAGGGGTACCTTCGGGAGGTCCCTCTAGTAAGGATTATGGTATTTGGGAAGGGGGCCATATTGGGGTCCCCCTGAACCCTAAACCTTAAACCCTGGGAACTACCACTTGTCACAGGCCTGGGGAATATCAATCCCACGGCAAAGTACATCAGTCGCGACCAAGACCTCACAAGTGTTTGGCTGATAAGGGGGTTTCTCAAAATTAGGTGTATTTGGGGGGTCCCCATTTTAAGGATTCCAATATCTTATGATCTATAGTGCGGCCCCCTATTGTGGGAAATTCCCATATACAACCACTATACTATACCTATATATATATATACATATCCCTAGATCTCCAATCTTTCTTGTCCATTTGATTCTCCATTGTTGGGAGTAACATCCCATATCAAACCTATGTAGCCCCAGTTTCCATTCTTGTTCCATGTTCTTTTGCATTTGATTCTCCATTAGAGTAGCTTCCATGTTCTGTTCCATTCCTCAAGCGGCTGCAACAGCCCCAGTCCCTTGTCAACACCCACCCTCTCTCCGTCGCAAGGATTGAGGCTTCTGCTTTAGGGTTTAAGGTTAACCCTAAACCCTAAACCCCTAAACCCTAAACCCTAAACCCCTAAACCCCAAACCCTAAACCCCTAAACCCTAAACCCTGAACCCTAAACCCTAGTTTAACGTTTAGGGTTTAGGGCCTACAGAGTTGCCAACCTGGCAGCCGAGGCGGGCGCCTGTTAATTGTTCAATGACCCAAGACAAAACAGAGGGGGGGTCCTAAAATTAGGGGTATCATGTTGGGGGTCCCAATAATAAGAACTAATATATATTGGAGCTTATATTGGGGTCCCCTATTTTGGGAAACTACCACAGCTGCAAAGAAGTCTGCAAGAATGGCCTGCGTCATTCCACCACGGAATTCGCTCATGACCCGATCTCGCCTGATGAAGTCGGCAATCTCTGCCAGCTCTTAGGGTTTTTGAGGTTATGGTCTTATGACAAAATTTGACAATACTACTGCTCTTAGTACTTTTGTTAACATTGGTATCAGTGTTAGTATTCCTGTGACTATCAGTACTGTAACTAGGGCCCAGGCTCCTCCACTGACAGGTAATCTTCTCCCTGCCCGTCCTGTCTCTGCCTGGCAATTATATTCGCGATGTGGAGTGGTCTGTAGGACCTGTTACAGCAGGTTGCTTGGAGGGTCAGGGGGAATAAGTAAGTAGGTTAATAACCCCTAGCCCACCTGATTGGTAACCTTAATTATGCCCATAATGAAACTAGTTACTAAGTCCTCCTGACCCTAAACCCTAAACCCTCAACAATCTAGCAGTTTCTATTCTCTTTCCTACTATTACTCAGTCCCCCTCTGACTCTCCAAATGGCAAACGCAGTATAAATTTCCCCTAAACCCTGCACCCCAAACCCTTGTCCCCAAACCCTATCCAGAAGATACGAGTGCTACATCTCAGGAGGATCCCCCACCCTGTAATGGTGGTATAATAGCTATACAAGAGGACCGTAGTATAATCCCTATTATCCCTTATAGTCACTATTACTGGGTGGATTCAGGGCCCTAAACCCTAAACCCTAAACCCTGAGCTACATCAAACAAGGCAGGGAGGCGAGCCACAAATGAGCGACACCACCCGTCCCTCATCCCGAAGCTGCTCTGCGATCTGGAATGCCTCTCATAGTAGTGAGAATAGTACTACATACTACGAATGGTACTAATACTAATAGTAGTAATGACAATAGTAATAACAATAGCATTAAAATTAAAGCTGAGTTCGCTCTTTTAAGCGCTTTCGTGCTGAGAGGTGTAGCTAGTATGCCATAAACAACTATGTTTGCACGAATCTTTACTCCAGTAGCCATCTGCGTGCAGCTCCTATGTGAGCACAACTAAGTAATGCAGCCATGGAAGGCTTCACGGATTGCAAAAGGCACTGGGTATATTTGGTGCCCGACATCGATGACATCTGGCTCGCCCTCTGCTGCAATCCACGTCACACTCGCCGGCTGTCTATCTTGTCTCCGCTCTGCGGAACATGAAGCTATGCTTCGCAACGCCAAGCTAATCATCTGGTATCGCGGAAAATCACAGGATGAAGGCACGAAAAGAACTGCAGGAATTCAGGCTTGTCAAAGCCTTGAAGGAAGTGCCTCTCTGCGATGCGAAGCAGATGGTCTACACTAGTCTACACCTACTGATGCCCTAATTAGCATCTCACATTCTGGGTCAAAGCCAAGATATCGGGTTCTATCGCCTTGGCTTCTTAATTTCGCTACTGAAGCCCTAGCTGCAAGAAAATCCGTCGGGGGTTGCATGAAAGCAGCATCTACACATATCTGCATGCTTCGCTCCTTCATCACTGAGATTGAAAGGTCAGGATTTCGATTCCTAATCACATGAATTCTAGTCATCTCTTGAACTTGAATACTACCGAGGCACCATCGAGGGTATAGGGGATATCTATTGGGGTAATGGAAAAGAAAATGGAAACTACCAAGTGCTATTTAGGGTTTAGGGCATAGGGTATAAAGTCTGGACACAATAAACCCCCTCCTTAATGAGATTTTAATAGGGATCCTAATATGAAGGCCCTTAAAAGGAGGGGGTTTATTAATCATGGGTCTACATTAAACACCCTACACCCTAAAGCCTAAATAGTAGTTTCCATTTTCTTTCCATTATCCCCATATTTTCCCCTATATAACCCCATTATCTACCCTAGTATAATATGGTAGTTTCCATTGTCTTTT